CCCCCGAGGGGGATTCCGATCCCATGGGAGCTGGGTGTTGTCCCCGGGGCCGTGTTGGGGTGCAGGGTGGGGGGTCATCGATGGGACCGGTTCGGTGCCTCCCCGAGGCTCCTGGAGACCCCCGAGGGTTTTACCCCCAGTGTGTGGAGGGGGCAGAGCTGGGCACTCCCCCCAGAGCAGCTCTGGGGCCCAGCCCGGAGCCCCCCGGGGGGGCTGGGGGGTCTCTGGGTGGAGCAGGTGGGATCTGTAGGGCAGGGATGGGGTGTGGAGGGGCCCGGGGCATTCCCAGGGGGAGCAGCAGCTTCCAGCGTGTCCTGAAGGGCCCCGGTTGGGGCGGGAGAGCCGGGACACGGCCAATGGCCACGGAGTCACTGCCCCAGCAGGGCCTGGGGCCCGTCTGACCCATCGGGGCTGAGCTGGAGCCACGTCCGTGTGTCCAGCCCTCGCTTGGGCCAGAAGGTTCCCCGGCCCCGTGGGCAGTGACCGCACTGTCCCCTCCTGCAGGGACCCTCCGGTGCCCACCCTGTCCCCTCCTGTGGTGACAATCCCCTGCCCACCCTGTCCCCTGTCCTGGCCCAGCCATAATTAGCTGCTGGACATTCCCGGAATACCTGCAGCCCCTAATGAGGCTCCATAAAGCTGCCCCTGATCCCGCGGCTCCTCCGGCACTTGGGGCCACTTGTAAATCTCTGCTTTACAACCGGGGGGGCTGCACTGGGAGGAAATGGAGGCTGGGAGGGGGGACACAGCTCCTGCCATGGCCTGGAGCTGGTGCTCTGGTGTGGGGTGTCCCTTGCACTGTCCTGGGTCTCCATCCCTGTCCCATGTCCCTCATCCCTGTCCCATATCCCCCATCCCTGTCTCTTGTCCTCCATCCCTGTTCCTTGTCTTCTATCCTTGTCCCTCCTCAGGGTCAACCCGCCCTCCCTGCAGCTCTCGGCGGGTTCAAGGTGGTGACCCCCCACTCAGTGGTGGTCTCAGACCCTCCCCCCGTCACTGGGACAGGGACACCCATCTCTGGGGGCCTGAAGAGGTTTTGGGGTGGTTGTTCCCAGTTTTGGGGTGGTGGTTTCCAGGTTTTGGGGTGGTTGTTCCCAGGTTTTGGGGTGGTTGTTCCCAGTTTTGGGGTGGTTGTTCCCAGGTTTTGGGTGGTTGTTCCCGGGTGGATTCTCCAGGTGTTGGTTGTGCGAAGGCACAAGGACCAGCGTGTCCGGGGGGCTCGGAAGGGGGCTGTGGGTGGTTCCCAGGTGGGAGATAAACCCGGGAATGTCCGGGGACTCTGAGCCAGGCACGGGGCACCGGGTGGGCTCTGTCCCCTCTCATCCCTTGTCCCTGGGGCACGGCCGGCGCCGGGAGCATGGGAAAAATGAGAAGCATCAGGAAAGATTTCCCAAGCCCTCGGAGCTGGATCAGGCCGGGAGATCCCGAGGGAGGGGTGGGAGGGGGCAGCGGGGGGGCTGCGGGGACACGGGGATCTGGTGCTGACCGTGGGATCCGGTGGTGGGGAGGGGCTGGATCTGGGTGGGGGCCTGGATCTGGGTGGGGGGCTGGATCTGGATGGGGGGCTGGGTCCCGGGGAGGGCCACGATCAGCAGCAGCCCGAGCAAAATGCGTTTATCATCAATTTTCCCTTTTTCCCGGCATCTTTTTGACTCTATAAATTTTTTATTTTACAAAAAGTCTAAAAAACCGCAGGAGCCGGGGCTGGGGCCGGGGCCAGGGAGGCCTTTAGGGCACGAGTCACAACAGATGTCACTTGTCCAACACCGGAGTCATGGGGACACTTGTGGGACTTTTCCTCTCCTGTGGCTCTTCGGGGGCCCCAAATCCCCCGATCCAGGGACACCAACTCCCTCTGTCTCTGCCTCCGGGGGAGCCAGGGGTGGCATCGAGGGGTGGCATCGAGGGGTGGCATCGCAGACCTTTGTGACAAGGCCACGTGTGACCAGGCCACGCTGTGACAAAGCCACGTGTGACATGGTGGCAGTGCCGGATGTCCCCACGCTGGATGTCCCCGTGCCAGATGCCCCCACGGATCCGGGGCTCAGACAGGACGAGGAGTGTGGGTGTCGTTGGGCCTCGGGCCAGCCCCGGAGGGGGGTCTTCTTCTGTGGGGGGTCTTCTCCTCCCCCTGTCCCCCCCTGGGTGCCGCAGCCCCCCGGCCCCGGCGCTGAGGGGCCGATCCCGGTGCCCACGGACGCCCACGAGGGCGATCGGTCCCAGTCTCATCCCTTCTCCACCTTTCCATAGTGCAAATGGTTCCCAGCCCCCGAGGGGCTGCTCCGGCCCCTCCGGCCCCTCTGGCCACCCCTCGGCTGCGGAGTCACCACCAGCTCCCTCCCGGTGACACCAGATGAGCCACCACGAGCCCGATGTCTGGGGGAACATCGATGGCACCAGTGCTGCCTGGGGGTCCCGGTGCTGCCCGGGGGCCCCAGTGCCACCAGCTCATGCGACCCCTGCCCATGGTGCTGGGCCCCCCCGGGAGTGCAGATGGAGCTGAAAGCTTGGAACTCTTGGATTATTTCTCTCTCTCTCTCTCTCTTTTTTTTTTTTAATTTTTTTTTATTATTTCTTGTATATTTTTGCTGTTCAAGTGCTGAGTTTGGTCCCACCGTGAGCCCCACCCCGACCAGCCGTGGCCTTTTGGGACCCGCTGTGAGCCCCCCCCTCCCCTGGGGCCCATCCTGGACCCCGCCCGGACCCCCCAGAGCGACAGAACGAGGAACAAAACAACGAACAGACGAACAGAAAAGGAACCTAAGACGTTACACACAGACCGATACACCAGGAAATAATTATAATAATTATAATAATTATAATAATAATATACTGAGGGGGCCACCACCCCCGCAACCCCCACCTGGGAGCCACCGATGGGACCAGTCAGCCCCGAGCACTGGGACCAGTACCGCCTGCTGCTGGGGCTGCGGTCCAGTGCCCGGGGCTGACTGGTCCCAGTGCCCAATGCTGACCGGTCCCACTGCCTGGAGCTAACTGGTCCCAGTGCTTGGGGCTGACTGGTTCCAATGCCTGGAGGTAACTGGTCCCAGTGCTCAGGGCTGACTGGTCCCAGTACCCAGAGCTGACTGGTCACACTGCCTGGAGCTGATGGGTCCCAGTGCCCCATGCTAACCGGTCCCAGTGCCCCATGCTAACTGGTCCCAGTGCCCAGGCCTTCCCATCATTTCTCCTTCAGTGCCACCTGCCTGTAACAGTCGCCTTGGGGCCCTGGGGGGCCTTTTGGGGTGACAAGTGGGTTTGGGGCTCCCCCAGGGCCAGGGCAGCTCCAAACCCTTTCCAGTCCCTTCCCAGTGGCTTCTGGATCTTTCCAAGTGCCTGGCTCTGTCTTCCCTGGGACCGTTGCCTTCGGCATAACACGGGCACCGTGTGGGGACACTGGGGGTCCCCCCTCCTCCACAGCGACCCCCAGGGCTGCCGGAGGCCACGGTCCCCCCAAAAGGCACTGAAGGGCAGGGGGAGGGGGTGCCCCGGCCCCGGGGTTTTCATTGGCATCGTTGTGTCCGATGTATTGGAAGAGCCACCACTGATCCCCTTGGCCACGAGGGGCTGTTGGCCACGGTGCTTTGGGGCTGAGCTGTGCCCCCCATTCAGGGCTGAGCGGGGCTGGGGGATGCTCCTCTGCCTCCAGAGCCCCATTCCTTGGAACCCCGGCTCTACCCGTGCCTATCCCCTCACCTCCCACCCTTGCTGCCACCAGCCCGGTGGCATCGGGAGCCTGGCACGAGGGGCCGTAAGTGCTGCCAGGCGAGGGGGCCGGGATCCGGCACGGCCGGGGGTCGGCACCGTGTCCTCGTCCCCGGGGTGGCCCCGTCCTTGTAAGCGCTCGTGGCTCCGCGGAGCCGGGGACAAGTGCTGAACGTCCCGGGAGAGCCCCCGGCCGCCCGGCGCCGGCCCTTAAGTGCTACGCGGGGTGCGGACGTGCCTGGCCACGGGGTCGTTCCCCGCCCGGCCCCGGGATGGAGCCGCGTGTCCCCCCCGGCACCCCCGGGATAAGTGCTGGGCCCGGGGGCCGCGGGGGCTTCCCCTCCCCGCCGCGGGGTCAGCGCCCGCCCGGCGCCGGGAGCGGCCCCGCACGGCCCCGGCGGCACCGCGGAGGAGCCGCTGGAGCCTCCGGGCTCTGGGAACGCGGGACAATCATCGTTTCTCACGTGAAAAATCCTCCGGAGCGCCGAGGGCGGCGGGACGCGAATGCGCCGCGTAAGCGGAATTTCTCCCCGGCCGGAGCCTCGTCCAAAGCCGCCGGGGCCGCCTGCGGGTAACCCCGGGCTGCTGGACGCCCTCCCGCCGACGGAGACCCCCCGGGAGAGCGTCGTGTGCCCTGCGCCGGTGCCAGGACTGGATCCAAAGCTTGGGCGGCAGCTCCGGCCCCTCTGACCTGGGGGTGCCGGTGGTCCCCGGGTGGCCCCTCCAGAGCAGTCCGGGCTGAGGGTGCGAAGGGAGGGACCGGGGCGAGCGCCAGCCGGGAGGGTGATCAATAAATAAATAAATTAAAGAAGGGAGACGGTTTCCTCCCGGGCCGGAACGGCCCCGGCGCGCCCGTCCCGGGGGTCCCGCTGCCGGACCCCGCCGCCTTCGCTCCGGCGGGAGCCCGTGACTGCTCGGGGACCTCCGGGTCACCTGCCCGTGGGTGTCACCTCGGCCGCGAGGTGGGCGGGGGTGGCCCCGTTCCCGCTGCTGCTCCAGGAGCGCGAGGAGGGCGCGGGGTCTCCTCGGCCTCCTCCTCTCCCCGTTGCTGCTGAGCTGGGCTGGGGGAGCCGCCCGGTGCCGTGTCACCGTGTCACCGTGTCACCGTGTCACCTTGTGGGGGTCCCGGCCCCCCCTTCCCTTCTCCGTTCGGTTGCTTTATTGCACAATGCATGTCGAATCGCGGGTTTGGTGCAGCGTTTCTCCGTGGGATTTCCTTCTCTCTCTCTCTCTCTCTCTCTTCCAACATCCAAAGGAATTTCGACGCTTGGCCTTTGTATTTTTTTTTTCCTCTCCCCCGAAAAAAAAAGAAATCTTAAAGAAAAGCAAGAAACAGCGGAAGAAACGAGGAGTTGGTGGTGGAGGGGGTGGTGGGGCGGAGGGGCAGCCCCAGCCGGGCTCTAGGAGCACCCGCATCTGTCAACCACCATGCCGGGGATCTTCCCGTAGATGATCTGCTGCTTGTCATTGAAGTAGAGCATGTTGATGGGGGACATCTTGGTGGGGGTGCAGCAGGGCCCCGCCGAGCCCCGGGGGTTGGCCTGCTGCACCAGGTGGGTGTGGGGGTACTTCTGCATGAACATGTACTCGCACTGCCCCGAGCAGTAGTTGGCTTTGTATCTCTTGGGGGCGATGATCCAGTCCCAGCCGAAGGCCTCGAAGTCAACGGTCAGGGGGTAGCGGCAGCAGCGGGACTCGGTCGAGTGCTCATCGCAGTCCAGCCCCAGGTTCCGCCGCGAGCGCTTGTTGTTCTCCAGGACCCGCAGCTCCATGAAGGGGTGCTGGGGGGGGGGGAGAGGGACACGCTGAGCCACCGCCCCGCTGGACCCCCAGCCCGGCCCCACGGGATGGCAGCAGCTCCACGGCAGTGTCACCGGCCCTATCCAGGTGTCAGCAGCCCCATGGAGCTGCCACCAGCCCTATCAAGGTGTCACCAGTCCCATGGAGGTGTCACCAGCCCCATGGAGCTGCCCTCGGCCCTACTAGCTGTCACCAAGCCCTATCAAGATGTCACCAACGCCACGGAGGTGTCACCAGTCCCGTGGAGGTGTCACCAGTTGCACAAAGCTGTCACCAGCTCCATGAGGGTGTCATTGTCCCTGTGGAGCTGTCAGTGTCCCCTTGGAGCTGTGACTGTCCCCACAGAGCTGTGACAAGCCCCAGGGAGCTGTCATTGTCCCTGTGGAGCTGCCACCGTTCCCCAGATCCGTGACCACCCTCCCCGGCTGTCACCCTCCCCACAGAGCCACATCACACCCACCCCGATCACCCCCCCCACCCTCCCCGCCCCCCAAGGGCACTCACCAGCCCCTCTGCCCCAGGCCCCAGCGAGGTGACGGCCAGGTCGTTGCCGTTGGGGTCGAAGGCGTTGATCTCGATGCCCCAGTTGTTCTGCGGCTGCTTGAACCAGTTCTGCAGCACGTGCTTGAAGTCGATGCTCTGCCAGTGCCCCAGGCGGGAGTTGAGGTCGATCTTGAGGGAGCGGATGCGGATGTGGCGACTGCCCTCGTCCGTGACGGGCTTCAGGCGCAGGATCTGCAGGTAGACGGTGGGGGTGTGCTGGACCGGCCGCAGGTACACCCAGAGCTGCGCCTTCACCACCTTCGTGAACATGATCTTGGGGCTGAAGTTGAAGAAGCAGCAATGGGGGTTGCCCTCGATCTGCACCACCGGGTCCGCTGCGGGAGGAAGGAGGCGTCAGGGGTGGCCCCGGGATCCCTCCCAAACCCCGGGACCCCGCGGGCTCCTCCTCGGTCGTTAGGAGTTGAAGGTCGGGTCAGAGGCTGCCCCGGGGGTCACCACCCCTCCGCCCGCGGTGATCCCCGGCTGCCCCCTGACCCTGGGGAATCCTGAGCCCCCTGGAGCGAGCCCCCTGCGGAGGGGGCCGGGCTGGGCAGGGCGGGGGGCTCCGACCCCACAGCACCTGCTCGGGGCAGCCGCTTCCCAGCACATCCCACTGCCGGGGCTGGGAATGTGCCCCGGGTACCTCTGGGCTCTATCTCCCACCCCCTCTCTGATACCCTCCCTGAGCTGGTTTATGGGGCAGCCCCACACCTCGGGGGTCTCTCCCGGCCCCCCAGCACGACGTGCCGGGGCCACGTGCTCAGAGGTGCTGAAGGTGAGCGGCCCCACAGGGACGCCCACCTTGGTGGGGTGACAACCCCGAGCACCCATCGGACCCGGGGGTCCCTGGGGGTCCCTCCCCCGGCCTCGCACCGGCCCTCCCGGCCCGGCAAACATCTGTGTCAAATTGAGCTGGGAATTCGCCCCCCGCCCCGTGCAGCCCCCTCCCCCTGCACCGGTCAGGTTTAATAGCACCCAGCTGCAGCGGGGCCATTTGCTGCGCCGAGGCCTTCCCGGGCTCACGGGGGTCACGACACCGGCCACAGCCCCCGGAATGCCGCCCGGCCCCCCGGCTGGGGGGGCCCGACCCCCCCGGGATGGGGCTGGGGGCCGCGGGCACCCCCCACCCAAACTGCCCCTGCGATGTGCGGTGCTCAGACCCCCGACTGAACTCCCCCGTGCCCGTCCCCTCAGCAGGTTGTGCCCCCCCAGCCCCTCAGTGGAGGCTTTGCCACCCGTCACCAGTGGGATGTCACCCCACGGGGGGCTGTGGGCGAGGTGACCCCTGCACAGGGATCTGCGGTGGCCAGTTTGTGCCACGAGGTGGGGTTTGGGGGGGTCTTCAGGTGGGAGATACCGGAGCAGGGCTGGAGCCGGGGCAGGTCCTGGGGAGCTGCCCCCAAAGCCCCTCACTGGGTCAGCGGCAGCACCGGTGGCACCGCTGACCCTCTGCCGGCCCGGGGGTCCCTGTGGCATCCCGGGGGAAAACCGGGGCTCTGACTGACATCCCGGGGGGACACCGGGCCCGGGGGGAACCGGTGGGGGGGCTCTGACACGCTGGCTGCGGTGCCAGGATGCTCGTCCTGTCGCTGTGGCAACAGGGGATAAAGGTTACCGGGACACCGGTCACAGCTGGGCATGTGCCGGGAGGGGGCCGCCCCCGGCCCCCCCACGCTCTTTGTTCCCACCGGGGCCCGGATTCGGGGCTCCCACCCCGACCCCATCAGCCCCCCGACCGGAGCCCCCCCAGATCCACGGAGCCCCGAGGTGCCGTGTGCCAGGGGTGGCTCTGCCGTGTCCCCATGTCCTTGTGTCCCCGTGTCCTCACGTCCCACTGACCTTGAGCGGCTCCGGCCCCCCCGGCCCCCGCCGGCCCCTCGCCCCGGTCCCCCCGGCCCCCATCGCCCCTCATTAAGCTCCCTCCCCCCCGCGGGTCGCGGGGGTCACGGGTAGCCCCTCAATGGGTTTAGGACCCAATTAACCTTCCCGGGTTCCTCCTGCAGTTAAAAACCCCCGGGGGGGGTGGGGGGTTTGGGGGTGGTGGCCGGGGATTAGCGGGGGGGCGGGGGGCGGCCGGGGGGAACCCGAGAGCTTTATGGCTCTGCTGCCTGTAAAGCCCTTTCCCTCCTTCTGTTCAGGAACCATAAAACCCCCCACAATTGCCCCGGGGGGGCGAGGAGGGAGGAAAAATCATAATAATAACGGAGCGGCGGCAGTCGGGGGTGGGGAGCGGACCCGCGGCGCATCCGGCCGGGGGTCCGGGGAAGTGGGACCCCCGGCGCGGGGCCGTGCGGGAGGAGGGGCTGCCCTCTGGTATTTATTTTGGGGGCCCCCGAGCTGTGAAGGGGCGGGAGGGGGGCCCGGGGGCCGTGAGCGTTGCCGCGGCTGAGGGAGGAAAACCCCAGCGTGTCGTCAATTTTATGGGTAATAAAATTTCAAAGCCGCCCGAGTCTATTAATGCCTGGGAAGGAAATTCGTCGGGGGGCGGCAGGAGGGGAGCAGCGCCTCACACTTCCCTCCCTTCCGCTCGCCCTTCGCACCCGGCCCCCCGCCCCCTGTCCCGGGGGTCCCACGGCTGGAGCAGGTGGAGAGACCCCGGGGGATCTGGGGGGGACGGGGCCACATCACGTTGCAGAAAAGTCCCCATGACCCGTCCCCTCCCTGCTGTCCCACCGGGGACCCCTCGCGCTCCTCACACCCCTCACACCCCTCACAGCCCCTCACAGCCCCTCACATCCCTCACACCCCTCACACCCCTCACAGCCCCTCACAGCCCCTCACACCCCTCACACCCCTCACA